GATTGTTCAAGCGAAACGTCTGAAAAAGTTTTAGTCGACAAACTTAATAGGTTTTTTTTTTTTACGAAAGAGATCTTAAGTGGTCTTTGTGTATTTCTCCGTTGACATCTTGTCACAACAACTTCAGAAGGTAAGCAACTAAACTATTATGTCCCTGAAACCCTTCATAATATTTTTGAAAGGTTTTGCACTAAAAACCCGCAAAAAGCGTTTTACAGTGGTGAACTGTTTCCAAATCATTTTGCGACTTAACAAAACTTAAAACTACATTTGTAAACAAGTTAAAACATATCTCTTTCTTTTTCAATCTATTTGTATATTTTCATTACCTCTATTATTTTCAAGTATCATAAAACTTAAGAACCGACACGTTACCAGAGGTCAGTTTGAATGAAAGAGACCAATAGAAGCCACCGATAATATCATTTTCTTTCCGGTTGGATTTCGCTTGGGGTCACAGGATGTTCCAATACCGAAATATTTGTGTCTAACCAGTCACTATTTACTTAACAGTTCTATAGAATAACCACAACATGTAAAAGAACTTCAGTTGTACTTACACAGCACAGAGTGTAAAAACAGGGCTGTGAACATTTTACCGCATTAAAGCCCTTTCATCGCCCAATTCTTCAAACTTATGATATACAGAAGTTGCCCTCAGCAGATGCCAGTATGCGTATGCTATATCTAGTTCTTGACTTAATAAGAACGCCAACGCGACAAATTGTGTAACGTATTAAAACTCTTTTGAAGTAGGTGATATGACACATGATGATACTTGATCGCTTCTCACTGACATAAGTCACCACTAGTTTTTTTTGTTTCCTTATTGAAGGACCAATAAAGCTAAAGGCTTTTTCTACCAGGTGCAAAGCAATTTTTCATTTCAGCAAAACAGGATATTCGCTACAATAAGTTATTATTGAAATAGCTATATTAGTTTTTATTGTTTTTCAGAGGGCACGGTAACGAATCTTGCAATCTGATTGGTTCTTTACCTGGTCAGTATTTTCCTATCTCTGCCCACGGGCCACGGTAACGCTTTCGTGAGTCGCCGAGTACATCCCAACTTTCGTTGTCATTTTTCATCAATATACCTCGTTTTCCGGCTGGGCAGTATTTTTAAGCAAACACGTCGGTCACTACCTCAAGCCGATAAATAACTTATGAATCCTCTCTTTTCTCTCTATCAAATCACTTTGGTTGACAGAAAAATATTGGTTTCACAATGAATTTGTATAAACAATAGTGTCATTACGTTGGTTGACAAGCGGCCTAAAAACCGCCTGCGATTAATTTTAATCGTTCACAAAAAGTACCCAGAAAGTTGAAACGTGAGGTATTTGGTTACAGTTAAACTGAACGATGGAACTTTCATTCACTTAATATCTGAATTTTCTCGAGCAATTTGTTCATAGTGAAAGAGCGAGCAAAGTTTTAATTTAAGTTCTACAACAAATATACGCTCCTGGTGAGTCTTTCCAATTCCGTTCAATTTGGACATTTGTACCTTAAATTGCACAACAGAAATTGAAGGAATTTTTTGAGAAAAGGCCGCATTACATTCCCTTGTGTCTCGTTGGAGTGTGCCGTTCGAATTTAGTTTTTGTGAAGGAAAGATCAGAGTTAAACACGCCATTACAGCAAACAAACGAGCAACTCTCACAACTTCACAATAAAAAATTGAATTTACTCACAATTACTTTCCTCGCAGTTTACTTAATGAACAGAGGTAAATCTCCGTGCATGAATGAATGGTCGATGAGAGTGAATAATACTTTCCGTTAGATCATTAACTGATTTTGAAGAAAATATTGTCGTGACAGTCCTTGCCAAACTAGTTCTGTTGGTTTTCAAATGTTCCTTTGCTTTTTTTTTTCATACGCGCTCTCTAATTGACAGGTGTCAGATTGTGACAGATACTTGTAAAAATAATGTTTCATAGTTTTTTTGGAAGCCTTTTAAATCACCTTTATCGTTACGGAAATGAAAATGTTTCGCTGAGGCATCTCTCTTAAATTTGCATCACCTCTATTTTAACTACCATTTACTCACTCAAAAATTGTTCAGTTTATGGAACATCTTGCCGTATTTACGGCCATAAATCATTCGGGTTCTTTCGGAAAGAATTTCGTCAAGTTTAAAAACAATAAATATGTTATTTACCGGCTAAGGATCGGTCCGTATGGTGAAAAACTGTGACCTCGGTCTTGAAAATGCTGCCCTCGGCCTACGGCCTCGGGCAGTATTTTCAAGACCTCGGACCTCCCAGCCGGCAAATAACATATATATATTTTCTTATGGCGCATAAGTTGATAAATACGTTTTTAATAAAACTAGTTCAAGAATCGTGTTTAAAGTTAGAAGTTTTATGTCAATCAGTATTTTTCCCACCGGAAGCTTTATCGAGTACCCCATGTGTTCAACTGCACGGATGGAAGAAATTACCATCTATCCATTAAGGAAATGAAGCTGCTCGTTGTAATTGGTAACATTCATATCGTATGGCAATAACTTCACCGGCGGGACTGATCCTGTAATACATGTATGGGGAATAAACCAGGGGAAGTAGGAATTCTCTGATCAGTTAATGTTATGGGAACAGGGATTAGTCAGATTAGACTAGGGGAGGGAGGGGTTATAATATCTGATTCATTAATTCTGACTTCAAAACAACGCACCATCGTTACAAAGAAAATAAGTTTTTGACCTTTTACCAGTCAACGTTTTGATGATTGTTCTAACTACTTATCTTACTACTCATCGGATCTAAATTATTGGCAAACACGCTTTTTCTGATTAAGACCTTTTCAGTGCAGCTTGGCTGGTGACGGTATTTTAAGTTCCAAAATAATCAAGGATTACCGCTAACTCGCCACACAAGCACGTTTATTTCTATCAATGTCAATAGATCTGAAGAGATTTTTTTTTCCTTTTGGCATCGATTAAAATTAGTCTAAGACAATGTTAATCTGGTATTGTATTCCTGTGATCCTTGTCAGTGCTGTTAAAAGCTGTTTCGCAGACTGTCAAAACATTGTGAATCATATAGAAATGAAAATAATATCTTGAAATACCCCAAACTACTCCTCCTCCATTATTCTTATCGTCTCTTACAGTGTCTATCTCATGGAAACTTTGACGGGACAGGCATAAGAGGGGGAGGGGAGTGGGTAGAGTGAGTCTACGCTTGAGACCAGCAATATGCCTAAATACTGTATACATAACTTTATGTCAGTTAGAATTTCCGGATAGCATGGTGGTGTTAGTTTATCCGTGGAAAGAAACTCTGTAAGTCAGAAATTCAGTAAGGATGACGAAGGACTAACGCTCGAAACTGCAGCTTTGAAACCCTTTACGGTATCAACTCAGTTGATGATACTAAATTATCTGTTTTCTAGCTTAATCTTTGAAAAAGTGTTTTACTTCCCTTTACATATCGTTTTATTCTCTCTTAGCCTTATAGTTATTTCTTTTTAATTCTTCTTCTGAGAATCACGAGACAATAATCTCCAGCCGTTGTAACAGGTCATGCTGTCTCCTACTTGATTTAAAGAAGAAACAGGCAAAAAAAAAAAAATGAAAATATGACCTCAGACTCAACTACCTAGAACACTTGAGAAAATGTAAAACGATCGATTAATTATCCAAGAAATGTTTCTGTTTTCTATTGATGATTTCCTGCGGTTTTCCTCTCCAAGAGGATTGTACTTTTATAATGAGAATCACTGTGACTGTCTCCGGAATGATGTAATCAGAAAAAGATGTTATTAAATATGCCATGACACCTATCTAGTAGCCTTTTTATAAAGCTTAACAAAAAGCAATATTTCAGTAAAAAGATGGCTGGTCAACCGAGTGGGTAAGATGCACATAATTCACACAGAAATGATTATTATTCTCGTGTAAGTAAAATTCTCTGGAAAATATAATCCCCACGTAATGAATCTTTCATCAAGTAGTTGAAGGTTGTTTGGTCAAGATGGCCGATTGTGATCGGCCTCTTTCTTTTGTTTTTGTTCTCGTTGTTGTTGTCATCACTTTTGTTTAGGCTGTTATATGGAACGAGTAAAGGTACTTAATAACTTATGTAATTGCTTGCTCAAATTTGTCCGTAGTTGCTTCTTCACCAGACAATTCTGCACCTACAGGGCTGGTCTCTAAGTTTGCCACGCGCATGTTGGACAGCTGAATATCCAATGATATCAAAATTTTGGGTGGGAAGTAAGGTCAGTAACTTCACAGCCTTTAGTTAGTGTAGATGCATTGGTCGATGCTGCGCTCGTCCTTCATTATAAGATCCTCCCAGACTTGGACAAGCACAAAATGGAGGGGGAGGGGAGGAGGGAGTGGAGTGAGACAATGCGCTCGAGACCAGTAAAGTAAGTCCAATTCAGTAAAAACACTAATTCAATTCGATAATCATTTTACAATAAATAAAAACTTATCGATTACATTTGCTATTTGTCGCTTAACAATAAAATGACCAGTAATATTCACAGCAAGAATTCTGAAAGTCTTATATATAAGTATATATATATATATATATATATATATATATATATATATATATATTTAAAGTCATCGTGAGCTCAAACATAATCATATAAATCGTTCCATCTTTTTGCGGCAGAATATAACGGGTGGATTACACAACAACAATAATTATCTTTCTTAGTGTTACTAAGTTTTAAACGATATAAAGGACTTTATATTTATTTACCGTTAAATACGAGACAGTCAGTGGGCTCCAGAGAAAAGTTGTATACAAGTTCTTCTTCTGAGATCAGCGATAAAAAAAAATAAAAATAAAAAAATAATAAAAAAAAAATTTGAAAAGAAAAATTGACAAAAAAATGATTATTTGAGTTTTCTTCTTTCTTTGTTTATTCGCCACAATGCTAAGGATTTCCTGCTATTCCTTTGTGTATGCGAGATTTTACCTCAATTTTCGATTGAGTTTTTAATTTTCCTTCCCCTTTTCTTTTTACTCTCTCTACCTAGTGGTTATACGCTTCCGCTATTTTTAATAAATAATCAAATTCTTCGTCTTCTGTTGAGAATCCTAAAACAATGCTCTCCAGCCGTTGTAACAGGTCGTGCTCTCTCTTACGTAATTTACGGAGACAATACTCGACGACATCTTCTTGAAATCTTACTTTCTTTTTTGTTCTACGTTTGCTGCAGTAGTCATTGCTTTCACCTTTCAAAGATTTTAACATTTTGCTTCTCTTGTCGAAAAATGATTTTATCCTTATGCTGCATTGCTGTTTATCTATTGCTTCTCTAGATCTTTTCTTTCTCCAAGCTATGATAGCTTGGCTTATTAAATCAAAGTTGAGATTGGAACTGTTCTTAGGGTCAAGGCCAACGTTTTCTGATTCTTTGTCCTTCACTTCTGCTGACGTTTTGGACGTTCTCGACTGTTTCAATGAATCGAAAAATTCTTTTTTTTCTTTTGAGCTCGAGCAACGGTTCTCATCAATAAGTTTATACAGCTCACTTTCGTTCGCGTTGTTCTTGGCATCCAAAAGAGAATCATTGATTATGCCGATGAAGAAGTTCATACAGAGAATAGTGAGAGTGAAGAGAATTAGGAAGGCGAATATTTTGGCGAGTATCGTGTAAGCCTCTGCTAATTCATCGATTGGTCTCACTTTTACTCGGCCAAGAGTTAGCTCGAGTTGGAAATAAGCTCCTTTCAGCACCGAAGAGTAGCGCTCAGATACAGAGCCAAACATCAAGACACCGAAATGCAATAATGCCACAAAGAAAATGGATAAAATAATGCTAAAGGATGACAAATATCGTGCAGATAGCTTCAATGTTTTGGAGAATAGAGCAACATAGTTGTTGAAGCGAATGATTCGTAACAGCTTGGTGGTGACGATGAAAGTAAGAATTCCAAGTACGACATTTTCCACTTCTTGCCTAATGATAGCTTCTTGGAAACTTAGATTTGCGTAAATATTTTTATGCAGTTTGCCCATGGTTGAACTGACTTCACTTTGTCGTATTATGTGTATCAATACGGCAATCAGAGAAAGAACAATTTGAAACATCTCAACCCAATTCCAGATAGACTTGAAATATCGAGAACGATGACCGTAAAGTTTGAAAATTTCCCTTCCAAAATACAGAAAAACCAATACAATGTACAGGAACAAGCAAATCAAGTAAAACTGATGCGAGGGTGTGCCTGTAGAATCAAGTGAAAGAACACGAATTTGCATGGAGGCTGCTCTCAGTCCAGATGCATCAACTTCGTAGAAGTATGTGGCAACACTTAAAATATTCACCGACGGATTGAATGTGGAAAACTCTGCCAGGACAACTCTGGTTTGCCTGTCAAGCCAACCGTTGTTTTGTAAACTTTTTACTTTACTGAACCCCGTATGGTTATCATACCCGAGGTCTGCTACAAATCCTCCTCCATCATAAAAGGAGAACTGTCCCCACCTGGGTCTAGTGTCAATTTTCTCGGCATGCTGATATCGCCATGGCTTTGGACAAAGTTGTAATAACTGGTCATTCCTCGTAGTATTGTCGACAGGCCTCCAGCGTGGTTTGCTGTAGGCGGTCTTGTCTTCGTTCTTTGTAGAGTATCCATTGAAACATTCTTCGGACATTGTTTTCATATAGTTTAGGACTTCACATTGTGCTGAAAGTTGGAAAACAACGGATTAGAATTAGGAAGGTTGTTCTGGTATTCATTTCACTTACCGACTTGTCACATTTCGTACTTTGAAATAGGCATGGACATTTTTGTTATGGAGAACTGAAGGTGTTTTAAAAGCCTTCTAAGCAGCATTTGCCTAAGGAGCAAAGGAATGCCGTTATCAAAAGCTAAATGTAATAAACGTCCATAAAAAAACGCAGCTATATAAACACTCGTCTAGATTATTATTAGAATGGTCAGCAGTTGAGAAATTTGTTATCGGCGCATGTCAATCTTTTTCTACGAGAACTTGAATAAACTGTTATTTCACTCCATATTTCACTCCATAAGTTTGGACACTAATCACTCCTCTATGAAACTCAATTAGATATGAACAATTATAAAAGGTGAAATGACGTGTTTGGGTAAATAGCCTTTTCACTTAAATGCAAAAAGTAATAAAAATGGAAAAAAACGCCTACTCGCTTTCACTCTGAGTTGTCTTAGTCGAGCCATTCCAACAAGAAGAGAGTGTTTATTACCAATATAAATTGCTTGATTTTCTTTTTGACCGTTGTACCATTTGCTGGAAAACACTCCCGGGATGAAAACACGCTGTAACCAGCTCCAGTACATTGTATTGTTTGTCACCTGAATTGATTCAAGATAATTAGGTTAAATAAATAAATAAATAAATAAACAAATAAATAAATAAATATATACATATATATATATATTTATTTATACGTATCGTTTTTTTGTTTATGACAGCGTGCTAAATTTATATAAATTTACAAATATATAAATAAGTAAATAAATATATATATATCTTTTTAATTGATAGAAAATTAGATAGTTTGAGTCACACAAGCTAGTTTCTATTTTTGGGCGTGTTTTAGACTATTATTCTCACGTGCTTATTTCCCTTGAAATATTATGATTGTCTAAGTGTCTATGATGGTAGCTACTTTCTGGTTCTCCTCCTATGGCAGAATTGAATGCCAATCTGTATGATTCGTTGCACTTACATACAGTTTATAGCGCTGCTGACAATATAGCTAGGGTGCAGTTTCCCACGCCATGTGCATTGCTTGAGCATTACCTGGAGTTTTTTTTTGCCGTTTTTGTTCGTTTTAGCGAAGTATTTTAGGCTGTGTGAGAGGCAATAATTTCGAATCGTCGCCAGAAAGATCCTCATTTGTCATTCTTTGTGATTATCTGGTATGAGAATACAAGGAATCTGGACACATTGAAGTTGTTGTGTCGTATTTATTTTGCCAAGCGTAGCTCGTCCCTACATAATCTCTACATGGGATTACACTACTATCGCTTGGAATTTCTTTCTCTTCCTAAGTTTGGGCCCCGTACACTAACATATCTCTTTTGCACTATTTCTAAAGGGATTTTCCTGCTTAAAGTATCCGTTACAAGAGCAAAAAAATGCCTTAGTCAATCGCTGAACGTCTGTAAAGAGGAAAAAAAATTCCAGCTCTTAAGGAGGCTGGCAAAGTAAAATTTTCTTACATATACTTGATTTTTAACCTCCAGAGAAAGAAAAGTTATAAGATAAATTAAACACGCGAATCTCAGCAATGGATTTATCATAATCAAATAATGTTTAGTCACCTTACCGAAGTTTGGCAGTCCATCTCGGATTTATTTTGTCATCAAGTAACGATGGTCATTTCTGTTTCCATAGCACACTGCCATAAGCAAGATCAAAGTGTTCTGTGAGCAAACTCGTGAATTGACACATGATTTTTTAGATTATGTTTAATGTTACCTGGTTTAGGGAATTTTGTGGTTGATTGTCATATTTAGAGTACGAGCAGTAGTTCAGTGTTCGCTAATGTAGCAAAGAAACAAAGTAACGTTGGGATAAGAAAGGATTAAAATTGAAATGATCATGCTATTACATTTGACAAGGTGGATGATGTCATGTGTTTTAAATGTCTATCATTTTTGTTTCTGGTTCAAAAGAAAAGGTTGGAATTAAATGTGGGTGAAAAGCGAAATTTACTGTCTTTCGTTGTAAATATTAGAAAATCAAGGCAATACTGTTTTAATGAAAACATTAACGATTCCCTCTTTATCAAATGAGACAAACGGGAAACTGCACCAGGCTCTTCTTGGCTAAGCTGAAGAGCGCCACTCTTTCCATCAGAACCGTAAATCTCCAAAGCAACATGAGCAGTCGTGCCTGAGTTTTTCCAAGCTCTTGTAGTAATCTCTATAACATATTCATAGGTGCTGCTTGAAGATGATGGAAGTTGGATCGGTAATTCCCTCTAGAAAATCATGATAAGTAATGAATAATTAACACGGGTAGCTGATTTTTATTTTTAATTCGCTTTTTTGTCCAAGTCCCAACAAAAAAAAAAAAAGCAACAAATTTGGTCAACCCTAAAAAAAACAGTTTAATTAAATTGACTGTTCCTTCACTTTTAAAGTTCAAGATTTTTAAAATATATTCAACGCGTTTTAAAGTTAAAAATCTCAACTCAACAAACAATGAAAACGAATAATGCTGTCAACATTCAACCTTTTTTTTTTCCTTAACCCTATAACTCCCACAGGTGATAAACATGTATATTCTCCCAAAAATATCCTTACATTATTCAGGTAACAGGTCATGAGAATATTTAAACCTGTAAGGTAGAAGTTGTTATCTTGATCTATCAGCAAATTGTCGTAACTTATTTACAAACAAAATGTATAGCAGTCGGAGGGGAGAATTAACAATCAGATCATGGGAGTGAAAGGGTTATACTGGAGAGCATGCTCCGTTAAAGCAACGTTCATGAGCAAAATCTGGTTCGACACTTACATTTTTGGCATCTTCCTTGTCGAATGTCCTTACGATAACGAGTACAATCATATAACACGATAAAACCACCGCAATAGCCACAATTACTGCAATATTTCCGGTTTCTGATAACTGCTGGAACTCGACTAAAACCTTGTCGAAGTCAATAGGATTCGGTTCAACTAAAAGACTTGCACCAAATGACGTCAAGTGGCTACAGCTACAGTTTAAAAATCCATCGAATTCTGCTAAAACCTGAAATTAACAAATGTAAGGAATGTTAAAATTTTGGCTGTCACCATTAACTTAATGAAACTGTATATTTTCTGTCTTAAGGCGTTGCTATGTCCTGGTTGGTTATCAAATTGATTCGACTTTTGTCTGAAAATGTTCTCTGATCAAATATAAGCCTGAATTCAAAGATAAGCTGAAGGAGTGAAGATTATTACAATACCACCGCACTTTTGCAAACAATACTCAGGAAAGCCCAAATTATCTCAACTGTATTGAAGACAATTCCAAATTATACAAAAAAGGATTGTGCTTAAAATCGTTATGTAATTTTTCACTTACTCGACAACCAGATGATATCCACTTGTCAATTTTTTCTGACCAGTAAACACAACTACCTAAGGCCACCTTTAGAGTGTAGTTCTGGTCTCTTGTGGAATCATAAACTGGCATCACAAAGACATTTTCACTCTGGGGTGGGGTGGGTGGTGCATCTTTGACTTCGACACAGGAGCGCTTCCTTCGCCTTCCGCCAAAACAAGATCTTTTTCCCCTTTTGTGAGATAAGTTCACTGTGGCATTGTAATGTTTTAAGCCGAGAAAGTATTTCCCAGGACGCTCAGCCAGAAATTGTATCGGTTCATGTGGATTCAAGGAGCAGACCGTTTGCCCTTCACTTTTGTCATGAGCACTTAGCACCCAAACACACTTTTCGCCATGAGAGATAGTGGCATTAAGGTCGTAGTCTTGAGTTGTCGGCCGCTGACCAAAACGCATATAGACAAACATATATACGGTTGGATCTTGAGGTTTGATTTCCAGCATCAGCCATGTGTTTTCAAATCTAACTTCTATCACATGAAAAAGTAAATTGTCATCCCTTGTGAAATAGTTTTTTATTTTTGTAAAGTTTTCATCAGGTTTCAAAGGTGTAACGATGACGATGTCTTCAGAGAGATTTGATACTTTAATCAGCTCTCTTTTGTTGTTTTTCAGCTTCAGGGTTACAACATCAGAGGCAACTCTAGAATAAACATAGAATATTTATTTATGAATTTTCGCAAGCGTGAAACAAACAACTAGGTCCAAAATCTGGATGACGGGAATAACGGTGAAGTTAACAGCAATCTGCGGTATACCATTCTTAAATAAAGTTAGTATAATATTATGCTTGCATGTATAAATAAGTTTTGAGGAGTCTGTTTGGTGTGAACTTTTCGACACACCCTAAATGTACATTACAGTACCTGTTGTTGAAAACTTGACTTAGAGTCTTCTGATGCAGTCACTGCTGCTGCCTTCAACACGCTGTTAAGACATGAGGCCAAGTTTTCTGCTGATTGCGTTGTTAATGGTGTGTCTGCTACAAGTTGTTCCTGGGCGATAGACCATAGGAGTGACGTCATCGAACTAATAGCAAATAAGGAGATATTCTGTGGAGTGCAAATGGATATAAATTAAGATAAAAATGCCTACTTTCCGACTTCTTTCCATTGGCTTTGAAGAAATAGTTTGTGGCGAATTAGCTAAATTAAGTTCAAACTTATAGATTGCTTCATTTTATAACGCAACAGATGCTTATTTTTCATGCCTGTTTGTTTTCATTTCCTTTGTTATTGCTGTTGTTTCTTGAGCCTTTCTGGCTAAATAGTGTCATGGTATGAAAACTTGACGTAACAAGCAAGGCTATTCCAGTCCCAATCAATATGACATAATTAACTTACCAAAGACTGATGGGGCACTTTTTCCAAAACCTGAAGAGCAGAACCGATAGCTGAAGATTTGTGAAGCAGGTCGGAGACAGTTTTTGCTCCCAAGGGCGAGACTTTTTCAAGGATGTAGTTCATAACCTTGATCAACGATAAACATATCAGCTTAGTGTTCATTAAGCATTAAAGAATTAGGCAGATAGACTGTATCTCGCATGTCAGGCTCGTTTCAAAGATAATAGATCTAAATAGGAGACTCAAAGTATCAGGTTTCCCAATGTCAGTTAAATGCCATCAAAATGACATATTTATAAGCGCATGATTGATGTAAATGAATCAAAACACCGAAAATGTTTAAGCTGAAATAAAGGAAAGTCTGGTGAGTTCAGCCCATGAAATAAGTTTGCTAGCCTCATTTTCAAGACGCTGTAAATATCCATTTGAAATTTAATTTAAGGTTCCTAAGCGTTCTTCACTTATAGCAACGTAAGAAAAAATTGTATGCTAACAAGCTCAACCTGCGAGAATAATGGAATTTAAACATGTAACGTGGAAGCCACGACTCTCGCGCAGCAAAAATATCAGATATTTAACAGACAAGCTTCAATCTTTCTCAAAAATATGTTCATATATTTAAAGTATTATATTCGTCTGTTCCTCGACAGTTGAGTTTACCATCATCATTATGATTATTATGATTATGATTATCATCATCATTTAAATACAAATGCTTTATTGCTTTTTATTTATTTATTTTTTTTTTTTTTTTGCATGTTTGGCTCCTAATAAACTCTTTGCTTTTCGGATACGATCATAATGAGCTAGTTTTATTTCACTTTTTAAATAACAAGTTGGATTTTAGAAGTACCTTGTATCTCTCCTGCAAATTC